CCGTGTACCACCTGTAGCAACTCCATTATACTCATATTGTGCTCCACGAGCTGCACATGCACTCCGAGTGCAATACGCCACTACGCGGACCTCCTCTGGACTCCAGAAACTGCGTGCACTTTGAATCGATGGAACCCCGTTTACTAAGTGTAGGCCAACACGTCGACTTGCCCTCGGCATACACTGCACTCGCGGTATCGCTCCTCCCCTCTGGCGGACTGTCGCGTCACTACTCACGGCATCCTGCAGGTGGGCGAGGTCACCGTGACCGTGACCCTCTCCGCTCAGCAGCGCGACCGCGGGAGCAGCAGCAGTAGCAGCAGGTCCGCGTCATCGCGGGGCATCCCGCGGCAGGCAGAGCAGGCCGAGCTGGCGTCCCGGGCGCGCGGCCGGCGCGGAACATCCGGTGCATTCGGACTTTGCTTGAACATCTGGGCGGCAGCGGGGCGCGCCGGGGTCGAGCTGCGGGCGGGGCCTGGGGCAGGGGGAGCTTGTGCACGACGAGGCGAGGCGAGGCGAGGCGAAGCGACACTCGCGGCCTCCTCTCGACTGTGCGGCGGCGGGGCGCCTGGAGGGGTGCCTACCTCACGGGGGCCCGGCGCGCGCGAGACTGAGCCGGCCGGGCGGTCGGCTGGAGCCGCGCAGCTTTGCCGCCCCCGCCCGGGGGGCCGCCCAGCCCCGCCACACCCCACCATGCTTGGGCATCGCGATGGTGCGGGGTGACTCTCCGGTCGCTGGATCTGTATCCGCAACTCACACAGACTCTCGATGATTTACATCGAAAATAAATGCGATATTTAGCTCAAGGGGAATGACCTCCAAGTAGGGTTTTGCGATATCGATACGATATTGGTCGATATCAAAGGGCTCGACGTTCTCCCAATATCATATCGAATTTAATATGGCCAGTAGTTACCTGGGTGCTCAGGGCAAAATAACAAACCGTGGGGAAGGCCATGGTAAAATATAAATTATGGTTATGCATGGTAGTCCATAGTTGAATGTTGATTAACCATAGTATTGTGATCATAGTCATTCATGAAAACCATGAAACACCATGCTGAAAGGTTAGGAAAACCATCGTTGAGAAACCGGAAACCACAATCCATCGTCATCAAGTTACCATGATATGATGGCTCCTAGTGAACAAAATAACCATGGTTACCCATGGTTATTTTAACCTGGGTGGGTTCGGTACGGACCCATCTCGAAGAGAAAACCTTTCTACCTCTACCGGTCTAAGTCTTTTTCATTCGATCGAAGCCATGGGCATCTTGAAGCAGATCGAAGCAACAGATACCATTCACTCCCGTCCTGGCGCTCCTCTGCGCTGATTCATACGCTCTGCTCTTCGTGGGCATGCCCGATGACATCATACATGACACGTTTGTGAACCAACGAACAAGAGGCGAGGGCCCTTGCTCACCCGCCAAATGGTACCTTCAGCGTCATGCGGACAGCTGTTAGATGCCTAAGGGGCATAATCATCGATAAGCTCCAAATAGAAACGACTGAATAGTCTTGGCGCGCCAAGTGTTTGGCCCGATCGAAGTGATGCTTTCACAAACCAGAAGGAAAGTGGCAAGTTGCACAGTGCGAGCTTACCCGTCGGATACCATGGATGTCGTCCTCGCCTTGGCCATCCTCTGCGCCGGAGCGCCCGGAGCGCTGCCCGCTCTCTCCATCGTGGACGTCCCCGTTTCCCCCGAGGCCAGGGGTGCCGCAGCGTTGCTGTCCGCGTTCCTACCGCCCCACAAGGCCGGCGTGCTGCTGGTTGGACGGGTGCACTGGGCCAACGCCTTCTTGCGCCGCCTGCCTCGGTACACCCCCCGGGTGCTCCTGACGGATCCGTTTCCGGCATACTACACTGAGGCGACCAGCTTGAACGCTCACCTCCATCTCCGGCACAACATCCTCATGGTCGTTGCGGACCGACCGGAAGTCCTCGCCGCAAGTGTAGCCAATGAGATGCCTAGGATCCCACGAGCTCTGCTTTGGACTACAGTTGCTCGGACCGCGGAAGAAGTGGTTCTAAACAGAACGTTCCTGGAGTACATTACGCGAAGGAGAATGTGTAGTGACTATACTGTGCTCGCTCTCTCCGCCCCGGATGGCACTACAACCTTGTACGAGCTAGAGACTCGCGGATGCACGTCCTCCGGAAATTCAGTTCAAGAGATTGACCGTTGGTCACCCGCTGATCAAATGTGGTTGTGGGGATCTGCTCCCTTTCACCAGTTCTGCGACCAGTGGAAGCCCCCACCGTCTCCCAGCGACCCTTACATTTTAATCACTATAGCAAATAGTAAGGACGTGATCGAACAGTCAAACTTAATCGAACAGCACAACAGATTGCCTCGAAAAATAATTCACCTCTCCCGGTCGTATCTTCGAGTCAACGGACCAGATTACAAAAGACATGTGGCAAATCGAAGCATGCATTGCCGCTTGGACGCAATTCTGTACTACCACCCTCTACCACCACCGAACGCCGGTGAAATCTCCACATACTTCTGTGTGGAGGAGGGCCACGTCGTCGCGTTTGTCCCCTCCGGCCTCGGCGCCGCCGCCAACCCTTTCGCCGCCGTCCTGGAGGAGTTCTCGCCGCCGGTCTGGCTGAGCACGGGGCTCGCGGTGCTGTGCACCGCGGCCACCCTGGCCTGCGCAGTCCACCGGGGTCGGACCCGGCAGCTGGCCCTTGGTATGGGCATGGCCCTCGCCCCTCTCCTGGCCCAGCCTGCGGTCCCGGGGTCGCTCCCGCCAGCGCGCCACGCACTCCGGCCGCTGCTCGGCCTGTGGCTGCTCGTGTGCCTCGTGGTGGTGGCCGCCTACCAGGGCCTACTGCTGCGGAAGCTGTTCACGGCGAACCCAAGCGGGGAGATCAACAGCCTGACGGACCTGCAGCAGAGCGGCCTGCCAGTCTACGCAAGCAATGAGGCCCTCGAACTGGTCGAGGACCTGCTACCGGAGGAAGTTCGTAACCGGGTCACACGCTGGCACTTTGTAAACACGCGCAAGCTCATTGGCGACAAGGTGGTGCGTGCTCGCAACGCCAGCCTCATCATATACATGGACAGGGATTTAAAACGACGTTTAATGCACTGGTTCGCACCGAACAAAGTTTTGCACTACTTTGCGATCCGAAGCTTCAGCCTCCAGACGTGCAGCTCATGGACGCGTGGATCACCGCTGGGCGCTGCGGTCGCCAAGATCATCCGGCGCTCGGAGCAGGCGGGGCTTCGCCTCCGCTACCACGAGCTGCAGGACCTCCGGGCGGAGCTGGCGAGGGAGAAGCGCACGAGGGCCGCAGGACTGGTGCAGACCC